GGCCTCTGAGCCTCCAATTCAGTCGCTTGGCTTGTTAACGTAGCCGCCGAGTTGGAAATAAGATTTAGTGGAAACGATGATTTTCCAGGTGATCTTCAGTCCAACGAGATCATAGCGGATGGTCATCAGGTTGAAATTCTTGGACCGATACACTTTATGCAACTTCCTAAGTTCTTTTACAAAAGATAATCTTATTGCAGAATAGTAGTGACAGACATAATCTCCACAAACCTCATCGAGTTGAAATTCTTTGACGTTTGCGCTATAGCGGTAATATTTGACGAATTCGCTGCTCAAATGTATGCACAAATTGCGTAGAAAATGAATTATTTCGACCGAATTTCATACGCAATTCTCCCTCTTCCCTTTTTCCCCCATTTGGGAAATAAATTTTAAATATTTTCTAATTTTCTTCAAGTGCAAACTTAATCATTTCGTAAACCGCAAACCTTTACTGAGTATTTGACACTACGGAAATGTCATTGGAGATGTCAAAGTCAGAAAGTAAACGGTAGATGGCCCACCTATTACATCTCAAGAAGGGAGGTAAGGCTGAATTAAGTTCATACTGGTGAGTCTAAATGTAAGGCCAGTACAGGTACTTAATAATCAAAAATAATTCAGTTTCCTTTATTACAATTCTGTCTTCGAAGCGGAGACTGAAATTTCTGAAAGAACCAAAAGGCAATCGCTTTGATAGAGAAACGTCTTAGGTTCTTTTGGATAGCCAAGCTGCAATTAAAGCAACTGAGTGTGTCTACACAGAGTCGGCACATGAAAAAGTTGGCTTGCAGTGTGTGTCAGGTACAGCAGCCTTGCAACTTTTAGCGCATTGCGTCCAGCTTTGAGTTGATTGAGACTTATAACTCTCACGATGCTTCTGGTGTTGCAGATCATACCCAGAAGAGCTTACTTAATGGCTAAGGTGTATCAGCACATCAACAGGTCACCAACATCCCCTCTCAAGCAGCCAATATTTTTAATATTCCTTTTTTTAATATTTTCTTTTTTAATATTCTCGATCATTTTAATTTCCTACGGGGTTTGCTACAAACTTTCATATGATAAGTAAATTTAATTTGCCAAGAAAAAAAAGTGAAATGAAACTACGTTTGCCGTTCGCACGCTTTTAAATGTTTATTTTTCAACGCCTAGGGATCTAACATTCTTGCTTTCTTTTCTGTTTTGTTTATTATTTTCTTTCTTCAAATTCATGACTGACCTTTCGTCAAAACGGTCAAATGGACAACCCCTAATAGAAAGATGAAATTAAATACGCCGGAGGGTGTGACTACAATAAACGAAAAAAAAACGTATGAAATAAATTGAGAAAAAAGAGCTTTCAGCCGTAATGTGCAAAGGCAAGGTAGTTTATGGAAATTTGTTTAAGCAAACACATAAACATACACACATATCTATGTTGCGTGAACATAGTGACGTGCAAAAGATGAACACATTTTCATGTACTTTTGTTTATGACCGTTTAGAAGATAGTGCACCATATATATATATATATATATATATGTATGACTGTATGTATGTTTGAAAAGAAATTCTCTTCCCTTAGTTCATATCTATGTAAGTGCGTGTGCCCGTCCATGCAGTCTCAGCGGCGCAGCTGTGACGCTACACGCCTATGACGTACCGGCTGATACCAAACTGTTGATGATTACATGTCATTCAAAAAACGTTTCGAAGAAAAGTGCAATGCACACACCTACAAATATCTTGAGCACGAATAAGCTCTTTATTAAAGAGAACCTTTGACTATTATTAATGACGGCCATTAGGTTGAGTTAAGTTAAGCTCAACCATGAAGTCTATGCAAAAATGCGTTTAAATGCAACACAGAGAATAGACGTGTCTAAAACAGCGGACCTTAATGGCTTTACAGGCAGTGTGGGTTGCAGACTGATCAAAAAAAACAAAAGCTTACTATTCTTGTAGTTGTATTGATGGATCATCTAACCCTGAGTTATATATAATTGGCGCTTTGTAACCGCTGAAGCGATTTTTCGACAGAGCACCTCCTCCAATTTGTGATTTTGCCTCTAGATATTTTTCCAACAAACGGAGGGACCTACAGTTTATACTAAGCCACCTCCGAACGGCTGTTGGTTATTTTACGAGAAGCCTTTATTTCATGTCCGAAACACACTCGGTGGGGTGGACATAACCTACCGAGGGGCGACCGCAATTAGAAAATTTAACTTAATTTTTTATTTAAATTAATTTTCCATAACTTTTAGATATGGTTGGCACCGGGATATGAAACCGAGCCTTCCGAATGTTAGTAAACAATGCTAACCACTCGGCTACCGCGGCCGATATCTAACCCTGAGGTATTATTTCTTAATAGTATTAAAATGCATTCGCTTGAGAGTGGTGCATGTAGAGAAGACGACAGAACGCTTGTGCACTAATCAATTGAAATCTCTACGAACATTTTAGCTATGGTTTTATGGTAGCAGATTCTTTCGCGTTCTGATTTCAACTCGCCTCCAGACGAATGTTGCTTGGCTACCCAGAGTTTACTTGATCTAAGACCGGAAGTACGAGGCATATCCAAAAAAAATAAGTGTACAGAGACTCTCCCGGCTTAAGGGCTCATATTTTCAACATATTGGCAATACAGTAGATGCTTTGCAACAAGACTACTGCTCTCCTCGTTTAAATAGGATTCTTTATTTATCCCGCATTTTCCATTGTTTGGCACCTTGATATTATTATTATTTTTTCTACCTTGAAGCACATGGATGGCCGGCGAAGAGGTACGGGCGGGGGTGGAGAAGTGGACGAAGAGATTGGCAGAATAATAACTGCGAGTATGGCCTCACCACTTGCATTGAGAGGAATACTGATTATGTCAATGTTATGTGTTAAGAAATCACGTTTTTTGTTTGGATAATCGATTTCAAAGCCTACAAAACCTACTTTCTGAATATGCCGCATGTATGTAAAATAATCGTTTCTGGCCACTTCTAGGCAAATGGCAGTCAAAAACTGTCCCAACCTGCATGGAATTCTAAAGCTGGACTCATTCTCCCTCTATAAGTTGTGCTATATGGTAATGGTAAAATCAGTGGAGTAGGAAGATCGATTTTAACGATCAATTGGAATACGACTTGGCTTCGCTTGATGCCAAACATCGAAATAAAAATAAACGATCCGATTTGATCCGATTATAATCACGTAACTGGTGTCTACGCTTATTAAGAACAAGTACAAGTTGCACTAAGTACGGCCACATATAGTCAGCTCCTTTATCTTTCAAAAACGGACTAAACATCGCAGCACCAAAGTTAATTTGAATAACAATAAATTTAACCGCTAGTTATTCAAATCCAACCTTCTTAAAAGTCAATCAGGACCTTGTTATTTTGCATCGGCTGATATATTCTTCCTTTCATGATATGGTGAGCAGTCTGTCCTACTACTTATTTCACCTAAATATTAATATTAGTTTTAATGGATTTTCTTTCGTTTAAGGTCCTTCCATTTTTTCTTTAAGATTTAGTCTTTCTTTCCAGAGCTGCAGCAATCTAAACGATCTCGTTGAAGGAATTTTTCATTAAATGAAGTTGCCCTTTTGTATGAAAACTGAAAACTTTTATAAGATGAGCTATTTTTAGGACCGAAAACATTGTGCGTTCCAAACGCAATGTCATTTCCACTTTACCTCATTGGATCCAGGGAAAATGCGAATATATTCACTGGGAATCACATTTCTTGTTCGCGGGTAGACTAGTCTGAGTCACCGATGTTATCTAACATAAAATCAATGAAACGAGCTGTTTCGACGGATTCAGATCATAGGGAACGGGGAGTTAGATGAGTGAGTTTTAGGAGACATTCAAAAAGGTGGTTAGTGTCGTGCGGAGTCTCGTTGCATACAGGACATACGTTATATATTTCAAGATCAAGTCTTGATGGGTAGAAATTAAGTCGGCTGTAATATGCTTATTTTAATTGTGCCGCTTTCTCGAGCCGGGCCGAGCTCGCATTCCGAGAACGACATTCACAGAGAGAGAGTTTGATGAATGGTGCTTAAGATATACCAATACACCGTCTTGCCCAGCGGTTCTTGACTACGGTACTCTGTGGAGTCGAAGTCTGGGTGGATATTCGCCTTCAAGTAGGTGTCTGTTGAGATGATCCGGCCAGTAACATCCCACTAGATAAACAATATCCTTCTTGACTTGGAGCATAGATGACGTTAGGATGTTTCCACTAGTCCAGATTCTCAGAGTCATCGTCACGCCATTCTATTCAGCGGTTCTTGTCTATGGTGCTCTATGGAATCTAGTACTCGCTTCCTTATGTGCCTGGGTAGTGGTTTAGCTGAGCGATTCCTTTTTTCGTCGCCAGTTTAGAGCTTGAATTCGCCATTCTCGACCTTCAAGCTCGATATACATACGTTGTTCATCCCTGATATTCACTCAAAATTGAAGGAGTGTAGCCAACTAGGAACAGCAGCAGGTCCACGATAAATTATTGCATAAAAAATTAAGTATAAAACTGACGTTTAGCGGTTTCTTAAAAAAACAACTTCTAATGAGTAGGCGTAAAGAGAGTCTAGTAAAAGTCACTTCTTCTGTGATTGTAGCACATTTTTGTGAGAGGATAAAGTTTCTAGTTCGGTAAAGAGAGAAGGGCCAATATGGTATTACAAAGCGTCCCCGTTCAGTGGTCGGCGAATTCTGCAATCCAACTTAAGCTACTTAATTCTTCTGATATTTCAAAACTGAAATGGCGGATTATGATTTTTTTTATATAATATCAATTGTCAAGTCATCATGACAACTTAACAATATTGACAACAAAATTATACAAATATGCTGAAATATAGATAAAAAAAAACAAACAAATAATTACATACTTGCAGATACATATATTTACATATGTATGTACAAACTACAAATATTTGTGGATATGAGAGATATGCACATATGTACATACATATGTATGTATGTATATAAACAACAAGAACAATTACTCACCTTGGCAGGTGCCATGACCGACACTAGTCATGAAGATCAGCAACGGCATAACCACAATGACCGCAATTAGAGTGTCGGCATTTAATATATAACGGCAATTCATAGGTAACGGCATTTTGAATTCACTCGGCGGTCGCTGTAGGTGCTATGAGTTTACGTCGCGGGACTCGGCCAATTGAAAGGAATGTCTGCTTGGTACGTTCTTTGCTTATCGCACACACGCACGCACACACACACACAAGCACACGTATAAACAAACTTGTCAACTTTCCTGATATCAATTTTTCCTTCGTATACGAAGTACATACATATGTATGTCTCTAGCCCACACACACGCGCGTGGCGGGAAAGGCAGTGTTTTGTTGTTAATTTTTGTTGTTTTTTTTTCTTCGATTTACTTAATTATATTTGCTTGTTGATTGGTTTATTTATTTCTTGTATTTATTTATTTTTGTTGATTTTTTCTTAACATGTCCATTTGTTGTTAAACAACGGTGCTGCGCAAATTGTTGTTGCTGTAATCACTTTTACTTATTCTATACGATTGTGGGTGTTGTTTGTTAATTTGTTTACATTTCAATTACAGTTATACTTTAAATATATTTAAGTACATACATACGCTCTGACATACATATATGTTCGTACATATTTACAATACATATGTATATATATATCTATTTCTTGCGTTTTATTTTCTCAATATTATTTTCTATCTATTGTTTCTTCTCACTTATCACTTGATTTTCTTGGTTGTTGTTGTTGTTGTTGTTGTTGTTAAGTTTCAATCACCATTTCCATTGCCACAAATTCAGAAGGTCATATTCCCTCTCTTACGGACAAAATCGCAGTATTTTTTATTTATTTTTTCTTTACATACCGAAGATCGTTTGGCTGATAAAATAAAGAACACGTACAAAATGCTTGTATGTAGCAACTCCTACATGAAATTCGTGATCTCAAAAAGGTGATTTTGACATAGGTAAAGGTTTGAAATGAGAAAAAAAAAACTTAGTTCTACTAACATACTCAGTTACATGTGTATATATGTAGGTACGCACAACTATGTATGTCGATTTTATATTATCAAGTAGGTTTTGGGTACAATGTCAAGCACCATACGAGCATTTCAGTCTGGAAATGTAATCTTATTAGCTCATGCAGCTAAATTTTATGGGGTTAACCGAAATTACGCTCTCAGCTGAGTCACTGCTTACAATAATAAGGGATCAAGTTAGAAATATCGCTTGTATCAGGTATTTAGAAAAGCCATTGATTGGTCGATTAAAGACTGGCAGTTAAGCATGACAAAATCAACTCTTCTCCGCATGCTTCAAGGCCGAGACCCGCTCACAACCGCACTTCAAGTGAACAGACGCTGTTGTTAGATTTCAACGAAATCTTAAACCGACTCTAACTGCATACTCAGAAGATTGACTACACCTCATTACACCCTCACGACGATAGTTCCACGTCGAAAATCTATAAAGAAAACAGACAGCAGCAAGCTGCATTGTGCAGAAAAAAGGAAGAGGCCGAAATGCGAGAGTATGAATAGCTTCAGAACTGGCCGACAAGTGACAAATATAATGTTTGAAATATCTACGAGTAGAGAAATGTACAGCTGCAGGCGTACGCCAATGATAATGACCTCATTGGCCTCAACAACCATGCCATGAGCTCTGCTGGGTCGGGTAGGGAACGAGAACAAAACAAATTATCTCCTGTCATCAAACAAACAGTTATATCATTCGCTACTCGGCGTCCACGTCACTGTTGACTGTCATCACTTTAAAGTCGTAAAGAATTTCGCCTCTCTTGGAACAAGTATTAATACCAACAACAATGTTAGTTGACGAATAAGGATCAAAGTCTACAAGTCACTCATCATTGACGTACTGCCATATGTGACAGAGACCTGGACTGTTTTTTTTTTAAAGAGTTTGTTGGAAGCTGATTAGTTGTTAAAATTAGAACTTAGAATTAATCATCTCGCAAAGTTGTAGCAGTTCATAATGATCAATGCCCCTGCCGGTTAGGGGTTCAAGAATTTACCCGCGGCAAGACATGCCTGCTGTAAGAAGCGACAAAAATCTAAGGACTGTCACACCCGCCACATTTCCACAAAAAGAATTTTGGGGAATATTTTTGTGGTTACAACAACAACACCATCAATGCCATTCAAATCCCACAGAACACTCAGCATTAATTTGTTTGCGTGGTCATAAATTCTAGTAACCCATATTTCATCGCCCGTGATGAGTCGCGTTTCAGAAGCATTTCACTGATTATCATCAAACTGTTTTGTGTTCATCTTTTTTGGGCAGTCAGACATTTTTATATGATTCCAAATTGTCGTTTGACCCAAGGCTAATGCTACCTGCCGATCAATTGTATGCTAGGCTTGTCCCACCAGTTTTCAGAACTTCGTCGGCTTTCTGAATTTTTGGTCGACCGAAACGAGCTTGATCTTTGACATCAAATTTCCCTAAAGGGAATTAAGCAAACCACTCTCGGGCCCGGCGTTACTTCCTCATCGCAAACAACACACATTTTTCGACACGTCTTTGGGAAAAGATCTTTTTTCATAGTAAAACATATTTTTCTTTGGAAATATCACTAATTTTCTAATCAAAATAACTTTTCAAATGATTGAAGATTTACAGAACTGTTTTCATTTTATACAGCGGTTAATCTGTCAGTACTCCCACATTTCGTTCTCCTGTGTGCAGACATTGTTACAACTTATTCCACTTAACCTATTTTGTAGATGAGATCGTAAAGCTTTATGCTCGTCAACTTCTTTACTCTTCATTTCGTACATTAAGCCAACCGCTACCGTTGCTACCCAATTGTTTTAATAGAGCGATAATCTCTGTTGTATTTAATATTTGTATAAATCGGATTTTCAGTATTCGAAAACTGGTTTGTCATTGATTTTTCAAATATTATTTCAATATAAACTATTTACTTAATTTTCGGTATTTCGCTATCAACCAAAAGCTTAAAATTAAGAAGGTTAATCACATTAAAATAGTAATGGGAGTCTAGGAACAGGTGCGTGATTGAAGTTGCCGTTGATTGCATATTATCTGACAAGCACTCAGAAATTCTAGATAGTCTTCGGTACGAACGTGACTCTGTCTTGAATCAGCGGAAAAGAAAACTAGATTTATATCAACTATAGAGAGAGGTAACTAACAGAACATACGACCGATGGTTTCAATATTCAACTAATCGACTTATTCCAATAATTTAAAAATCTGTACTCCAAAACCTGAACCTCTCTGTATATATTTTTGGCGACAAACAAAAAGCTACTCATAACAATCAGTCAGCTATAAGGACGCTGGTTGGAAAAATTGTTGGTCTCTCCATTTGTGGGTAAAACACAAAGCCAAGCCAAATATGGTTATAGTAAAAAACTAGTACTTGAAGTCAAGAACGACTTTAATTTCAAACAGCGTTTTCTGTAACCGTGATAAGCTGGAATAAATTACAAAAAAACTGGAGTAACTCACATAAAAATTTTCTTTTTCTATAGGAAAAGGAGTTTAAAACTGATTAATGTAGGATTTGTCACATTTGCAATTGTATAGGGTCCTGGCGGCCGCGGTAGCCGAGTGGTTAGCATTGCTTACTAACATTCGGAAGGCTCGGGTTCATATGTGCCGGTGCCACCAATATTCAAAAATTATGGAAAAATTAATTTAAATAAAATAAAATAAGTTAAATTTTATAATTGCGGTCATCCCTCGGCAGGGAATCTCCACCACTCCGAGTGTAATTCGGACATAAAATAAAGGCTTCTCGTAAAAAACCATCAGCCGTTCGGAGGCGGCTTAGTATAAACTGTAGGTCCTTCCATTTATTGGAAAAACATCAAGACGCAAAACCACGAAATGGAAGAGGAGCTCGGCCGAAAAATCGCTTCAGAGGTTACAAAGCGCCAACTATATATTAGGGCAAGTAAAAAGTTCGTTCGGTTTTTTTTTTATTTATTTTTCAAAATATGATAACTGTACATTTGTTTGCATTTGTCCGATTTAAGTCAAATATGCGCCGTTTTGTTCGTAAGCTTGTTGCCAACGAGATGACAACTTCTCTCCCTCACTCTTTTACAAGGCTGCCATTGGCAAAAAACTCGGAGAGCCAATTTTCACAGGCCTCTCTTGAGGCCAACTTCTCACCATTTTTTGAGACCCCTTCTTGAACTACTAAAATTTATCTATTTGATCCAGAAAAAAAATATATTTCGCTATCTATATACATTTATATGCACATAGTTATTTAATATAAATAATATAACAGGAAATGTCGCCTCGGTTTCAAGAAAACCAAATAAAAGTCATAAATCATTATAATTCCCAAACAAAAAGCAATACAATTGAATGACACTGTTTGTTTATCAAATGAACTATTCAATTAATATTGCATTAGCACTTAAGACTTTGATGCAATTATTCACATAGAAAAAGCAAAAGGAAAAACAAAAAAAAATAAAAAAATTAAAAAATTGTATGAAAAAGATCAAAACATATTGTCCACGCGAATTCATTAATTCAGCCGTAGATTGCGATCGAGCAAAAGCAAAAACAAAACAAAAAAATGAAAATAAATTAAAAGTACCAAAGGCCAAAAAAAAAATAAAAATAAAAAAAAATCTGCCGCCTTATTAACTTTCGCCGACTTTGTGATATTGTTTTATAGTGTTCAATTGAATTGGAAGGCCACTGAAGAAGAGGAAGAGAATATGAAAAGAATGAATGGATGTATTATAATAGAATACTTTAAAGGCAGTTTCATTCTCTCTTCGCAGACGGCTTCATAGCTACCTCTTCTCTTAAATAAAAATCTACCATATTTAAATAAAAAAATCCGTGGTGAGTTTTCATATATTTTTATGATAGTGGACTTCACCACGTGTTGTTGTTATATTACATTTTTAGTAAATTGTAAGAAAGTATCAGAAAGAAAAGAGACTCGCCCACCAAAATATAAATCGAATTTAAGAAGATGAGAAGCTGACTGGATTTGCAAATCAGTCTCACAGTTTTAGAGATATTTTAAGGAATTTTTGTAAGCAAACAGGATATTGTTTTATTTTAGAGCAGTGAATTTTTGGGTGCAGTG